TGCTGGTAGGGAAAAAGGCAAGCACCTCCATGCATGACTTCCAGACACTATTAGAAATAAGACCTCCACCAAGTGGGAACAAAGCCCAGTGTGAAGTTAGTTAGCTATTTCACATTGGTGGTACTTTCATTTCAGTATTTTTTTGAATGTCAGCTCTAGTTATGGATCAGGATCCTTTTGTTCTTTAGATAAACATAAAAATACCACTTTCTGTGCAAAGAAATAGAAACGACGTTTCTTTTTTATTGTTCTAGTTCTCAGTGTCAGCACGACAGGCTTTTGATGGCAATGGGCCTTGATTTGGTTGCTTGGTATTTCATCACTTTGCTGGGTGACACCAATCACAATGGAAGAGATGCTTCTGGCACTTGCATACCTTCATCGTGCTGTAACTTGCCAGTAGGGAAGGGGCAGAACCTTAGCCTGCAGGGGTATCCTGTATAATGACCCATTAATCCAAGAAGATGCATCAGTTATCTGTCAGATGAAAAGAGTTTTGAAAACTTTTTAAAGTATTTTCTCTGTTTATGAATAGCATAATGAACCCAAGGCCTGTCATTTTCATCAGGCCAAAGTCCATTCTGCTTAAAGCGATACAACTATTAAACTTTCAGGAATGGTGCTCCTTAAGCAAAGCAAAAATTTCATGTAACTCATTCTTCTCCCTGACAGCAAAGATTCTTATCATGCTACAGACTACATTTTGAGAACAATGCCTGAAACAAAGAGGGAAAGAAGTTGTTTAATACTGTTATTTCCTCTAAATAAGATCACAGAATCATTGAATCATAAAAGGTTGGAAAAGACTACTAAGATCAACAATTCAGCCATCAGCCATCACCACCATGCCCACTTTGGAGGATGCCAAACATGAACAGCATTCTCAGGACACATCATGCTTTTAGAATTATTATTCTCTCCTGATTCACCTTGTTGCAATTGTAACATTAGTCTCAGAAGTGAGAGCAAGAAGAGATCATTACAATTGGGGCATTTACTTTCTCTGAGATCAAAGAGATGAGCCTCTGGACAGCAAATTTAGTGGTATTTTACTGGATACAGATGCATAGCACTGCTATCTCTTCTTTCTGCAATATAACAGCAGTGGAGAGTTCAGCTGAGAGAACAAACTTTAAGAAGACATCTCAGTCCTGTAGGACAGTGAAATAGTTGTCCAAATCACAATGTGGGACTCAGAGCCATGCCCTAGAACAAGTCTTTTCTTATTCTTACAAGGAAAGATCAAGATACATTCATATGTGACTTTCGACAGTTCAAGGAAGAAAACTTCAAATGCTTAGGTATTTGATCTTTATTTTTTTTTTATAACCTATCAAAACCTCGGGATTTGTAAGCATTCCTTCAGCCCTAGATGGTCTCTTTCTCTTCTCTATTTTTCATATTATCCCAATAAAGGAGGAGGCCTTTCTTTTGTTGAGAAAACTAATGTAATAGAGTAGAAGATTTTTACAAGAAGCAACTTGTAAAAATGGCATCCTGGGGTGCCTCATTTATTACACTGCAATTGTTTCTAGATCAAACCTATTCGGTTCAGCATTGAAAGGATGGGTTTGCTGCTGTCCATCACTGAAAGCCCTACAAAAGTAAAGGACATTTTCTGGGTCATACTCTCTAAAAATAAGTCACAATGGGAATGTTAAAAAAACTAACTTACAACATGTGAATCAGAACTCCAGTTGCCTTGTACTTCTACAGGATTAAGAAAAACCCCTCGAGTGCAGCAATAGGTTATTTAAAGACCAAAGTAAATAGATCTGACTGCAGGCAGACACAGGAAACAGATCAGTGTCTCATGATGATGAAATCTGTGTAAATTTTGACAAGAGCCACATGCTGGGGCTCATCCAACAGGGATCTTTCCACCAGGTATTTGTTGAAGCATATAAAGATGCAGATTAGCTTCAGTTGATGCAGGGAAGCGATTTCTTTTTGTTTTCATACATCCTATAAACTTTTATATTTTTGGTGAGGAAAGTGAAGGTGCATGAATGCATAGTATTTTTGCAGGCAGATATAGCCTTATTCCAATCCTACTTCAGACTCCCAACCTTTTATCTCTTAGACTTACTCCCATAGCAGACGTGGTTACGTGACTTCCACTTTGCTTGGATCAAGGCAGACAGGCTATGTGTGCTTGTCAAACACAAATACATGCTACAGCCTGCAGCTAGAGTCCAGGAAAAGGTCTTTGACATAGCAAACATACTATGTAGTCCAAGACCTCCACAGCTCCAAGCTGTACTACTGCCATTACTTCAGATTCTTGCTGTGATGCTTTTTATGGGAATATGATGACATTAGTAGCACTAATGTGATATTTTCCTAAGAAAGTGTAGCAGAGGTAGATGTGTTAAGTCAAAACTTCTCATAGCACTGGACCCACCTGGTGGGTACAAGGGTCCCTCAGTGCAATGCCATTTGTACTTTGAGCTTTGTTTGTGAGGACCAAGGCACACAGGAACCCAGGGAGAGGGGCTGCCCTGGTTTTCTTCTATTCTTCTTTGGTGTCAGCATATTCACCATGTTTGCTGCTTCTCACAAAAACTCATCAGCTGGAAACACATCCAGAAATAAAACATAGCTCTGAAAGCAGCACTACTGCATGCAGGACGGAGTGGCAGCTCCCAGTTCCTACAGGTTTTTGGTTCTACTCTGTCAACCATATTAGAACCAAGGGGCAAATTTGTAAAGAAATGTAGAGGAAATGAGAAATTAAAAGGTCAAATCTGGAAAAAAATGTGTCTTCCACTTCTGAAGCCAGAAGACAGATGCAATAATAATACAACTTTTGGAAAATGTGGAATAATAATAGAAGTTAGATCTATTTGAATCTCCAAAGGTGGAGACTACCCAGACCCTAACCTAGAGCAAAAGGGATTAGAAAAAAACACACTGATATTTTTTTTAACACATCAGACAAAACCACTGTGAGATTGAGAATGGAAGCTGAAGCTAAACAAAGTCAAACTGGAAGAAAGGTGACAGCCTTAACTTAATAACAGCCCATCACTGCAGGAATTTCTCATGCATGGTTTCCCCAGCACTTAATTTTTTAAATTTCTTTAATTTGATTTCTTTATAAAAGATAGGCTTCTACTTACTATTTTAGTCTGGCCTGTACTATGTAGAAAGCCAGATTAAATCATCATAATATTCTCTTCTAGCCTTAATCTACATGTGATTAAAAACATGTTACGTAGTTACCTGTTCCTATAGAGATGACCATCTCCTCCCCATTCAAGTTGATATTTTCAAGCCATCAAATGAAACTAGCTGAAACAAAGTGTGCTTGATGAAACTGTGCTTGTGTGACATCTGCAAATCACAGCTGTGTCTGTGGGGATGTCAGTAAGTAAATATTGAGGCTGAAATCCTAAAACACAACAGATACACAGCCAGCATGGTGTCCCACAGGTGGGTGCAGGCGTGCCATGCAGTGGAAGGGACAACCAACTCTTCAGGCCTTTCCTGTATTCCACCGTTCTCCATGAATATTGAAGATGGAATTTTTTTTTACACATTTATAGTAGCAATCACGTGAACCCGAGCTCATTTTCACAAACAAAGCATGCCCAATCAACAGTCTCATTTTTTTTTCTGCCTAATGGATATTAACACAACAATTTTTGCAGAAAAGGTACAGGTGGGTTTCACACTCCTTCTGGGCCCCACAACAAAGACTTGCAGGTGTTTCCTATATCTTTGTGGTTATTTCTTTCAAACAGCATCTGTTGAAATGCATCTTGCCTCCTGCTTAAAATAACCCCGTAGCTTGGCAATGCAGGGTGTTTGCCTTAGCCTTAACTGCCCACCCACGCTGAACATTTTATGTTATTTAGATCGACCAGGGGCACAATGAGAGTCTTTGACCAGCAAGACTTCCTTCAGAGTGGGAGGCTCTGAAGGGGGAAAGGTGACCTAGGGATGTGGCAACATTTTTCACCTCCACTTCTCTTTCCAGTCGGGCAGCCCCGTCATAGTTGGCACCGACCGCGCTACCACCTGCCGCCTCCTCAGCGTCCCAGCAGAAATCCACACAAAACCTGGCTTGTCTTTTGGTAATTCCACTTGCAAAGTAGAAGCAGCTCACTTAAGCATTGCGCACGGCATCTTATTAAGCACCTTGTGATATGTAAAATTAAGACAACTGAAAGAAAATTTCTGAAAATGCTTCTCTACACTTTGTGACCACAGCTGGCTTGTATCTGGTGAGGTTTCCTGGGTCATGAGTCCATAGTTCCCATAACCTTTTGGAAAATATCTGATTTAACTTTATTTTGCTTCAATAATAACTACTAATGCTGTGTTAACCAATCAAAAGAAAACAAGTGGTCAAAGCAAGACCTAGAAAAACAGATCCAGGATGATATAGATGTAGGTTGAACATGATTTGGTTCTGAATGTTCAGCATGAGCTATAACTAATTATGACTAAAATCCCCTGGGCAAACTGATCTAGATGTGGTGTCCCTATTCATTGCAGGGGAGTTGGCCCTTGGAGGTCCCTTCCAACTCTAAAGGTTCTATGATTCCATGATTATGTGATTCTAATTCAGACATGCAAAGTGGTCTGAGAGGGAAATGGGAGTCAGGTGGTAAGACTAGGCAAGTAGTACAAATATAGTAGTAGTATAGTAGCACAATGTAGTACAAATCTACCTCAATCTGTGAATTTCATTGTAGGAAGAGCATTAGGTTGTTTTAGGTTTTTTTTTCCTAATTTCTTTTTTATTTCTTTTTAGGGTGTTTTTGTTGTTGTTGTTATTGTTATTGTTGTTTTTTTCCTTTAAGATATGATTTAGACACCACTGGGAGTTACTTGGATGTTGCCTTCCAAATTGAGTGCTTTTATTTTTTTAATACTGTAGTGGAAATGCTGAGTCACAGCTTGAAGCAGTGATTGAGCACCTGGTGGGAAGGTAGGGCCAACCCAGGGGAGCTCAGGTGCATGCAATGCAGCTAAATGACCAGAAGGGCTGGAGCCAGGATTCACCCCTTCCCAGCCCTCATTTAAGGGCTGGCAGTGGAGACAAGGTTATCTCCCTGGAGGTTTGTGCCTACCTAAGGCTTTCCAAAGGTAAGCAGAATTTAATTTTTCTTTGTTTTTGTGTCTATGTCTGCTGCATTTGGGCTTGTTCTGTGTTTGCTGCAGTCAAGTCATTGCTACTCTGCTATTATTGCTGTACTTTCCATCACATTATAGCATTACAAATATCATCATGTGTTGGATAGGCCAGCACTTGCCAAACTAGCCAGTTCCTTCAGAAGCAGTGCCCAAATTCAGGCAGGACCTCACTAGCACTTAATTGCTCTTGGAAAGTAAACATTTTACCTCATATTTTCTATGCTCTGCCTAACAGCATGGTAAGTTCTGCTTCTCATGCATAAAGAGAGATTAACGAGTGCTTTAGTACCCACCCTGACTTCAGATAGCCCTCTATAATTAGGTGGGAAGAATTGCCACTTGGTGCCTGCCTCTTTGCCTAGGGTAGGTAGTTTGTTTGAAATAGATTTCTAACTTCTAAATAGTTAATGCTTGATGAAGCAAGTTCCATCTTTACTGAGTAATTTTAAAAGTTTTATCAGTTTGAACAGTCCAGAGGAAAGAGCACTGGTAACTATGACATCTACCAGCATGCTCCTGACCTGGAAGAACAATACTACAAAACTTCCCTAGAAGAGTAATCCAAAGGGATTTTTTTCTTTTCCCTTATAACTGGCTCAGATAGGAATTTTATTTTTGGTATAATAGATTCCTTGAAGTGTACAGCTCTGCAGAGCATATGCTTGTTATTTTTGACTTAAAAAAAAAAAAAAAAAAGAAAAAAAAAAAAATTGTATTTAACTAATTTCCAGGTCTGCTAATTCCAAGCAGCAGCTAGACTCAAGAATGAGGGCTTTTAACTGGGATGTTACATCTAGGACTCCTAAATTCTCAAACTCTTCTACAATTTTCAGAATGGTAGTGCAAATAATAGAAGCTTAATAAGAGTTGATGTAGGCAGCTACCATGTTATCAGGTGCTTATAACCTCTGTGTCCATATTCATGAAACTAGATGCATTAATGGCACTATGCCCCAGAAGGGTAAACTTTGGTATTTTGTGTATCCTCAGATGTTATTTCTTAATAAAGACTAAAATAATTGGAATAGATGTATTATGATAGATTAATGAATATCATTAATCTTTTCCTCATGACTACCTTGGTCTTCAGAAACACACTTTTGAAGTTTTTTTTTTTTTTTTTTTTTTTTTTTAAACATCTCAGGCCTAAGTATTTTAATGGTTGTACTTGTTGTACTTTCTTCATAGAAGGCATTTAGTAGCTTTTTAAAATGTCATTTTATTCACAATGTACAGGTCAACTGCATTTAAATAACTGCTAGATAAACTGCCCACAACTTGAAATGAATACTGGATGAAAAACACAGCATGTTCTACTCCCTTAAAGTTGTTCTGCATAATTTTTAACCAAGTTTTGGATGGAAGAGGTGAATTATTGCACAGCATACAACTTTGGGCCACACATTCAATGCTGCCACCCATAAACGCCTTACCTCATCTTGAAGGACTGGTGACACAAGGCTGTGCCCGACATCATGCAGGGCTGTGTGATGACTGATTCCAGTGAATGAAAGGTAATGTTCATAACCACAGGCTCTTGACCTGGTGGTGACCCACTCGCTCTCCTTTTAAGAGGCTTCTATGAGGGCGGGGGGGGAAGGGAGGGAACCCACACCAGAGCACTTGTTTGGGTAGTTTTCTGAGAGGCAGGGGAATTTCATTAGCCTTGAAAGAGATTTTCCTGAATCTAAGTAAGGTTCCTACATTTTTTTTGGATTCATTATACCTTTGTAGTTAAATTAACCAGAATGGCTTTCAGATGCCTATGTAGTCATTTAGGAACAATAGTGGCCATTCTATCCTGAGATGCACTAAAAACATGGAACAGCTCTTTCTGTAGCATGGAAGCAAATGTAGTGCTGGAGTGGTCTGGATGAACACAGAAACACTTGGAACAATATAACCCAGGGGTTACCTCAGTCATCTCAAACACTGCAAATCTCTCCTGGATAGCTGAAATTGGGAAAACAGCACGAGACAAAGGAACTAAAGAACTATCAGTGGGAAAGTTAACTTGGGTGAAAAATAAACCCAGTAAGAGATTATGGAACTGAATTGACTGCAAAGTCAGATGGTTTAAACTTCACAGATCTCACTGATGGAACAACAAACAGAAGACAAAGTGTGGGAAATATACAAATCAACACTGTTGGAATATGAAGTGAAAGCAGGTACCCAAAGGTGGTAGAGTCACTGAAAGGGCATTTCTACACACATTCCCTTCAGAGGAAATCCTATTGTTATTTCTGAGTGAGTCAGCCAGGGTTTATTTCACAGAATGAGCACATGTGTTTCAGAAAGCCTTCCCAGTGTGATGCAATGAAGATGGAGCAATTGGGCTGATGGGCACCAGCTGGGGTATGGGCAGTGCCTTGGTTGAGGCTCCTGCCACCCGGCAGCTGCATGGGCAAGGTGTTTTTCTCTGGGGTTTATGCTTTGATTGATGTGTGCTAAGAACAGAAGGTCTGTATTTAGGAGAGTGGGAGACAGAAAAGGAATTAAGCAAAAGAGTAAGGATTCAGGGGCTTACAATGCAGGTTTAGAGATGAGAAAAGAAAACACAGAAAGACAAGAAAACTCCTCAACATGTTAAAGCATATCAAAAGATCTATATGAAAAGGATACACAGCCATTGCATGGCTCGAGTTGGCTAATTTGTTCAGACTTTGATAAGAACAATGCTGCTTCAGTAATACAAAAAGCATGTTGTCAACTGCTATTGAAACTGGCCTACCTGAGAGTTCATATTCAGGTCTGAGAAACTGTGGCTATGTTTTTTGAAAAGCAGTGTTAAGGGAATGGTGGCAACCACCTTGTGTCTTTCCTTCCAGGGAGGAGGTATCAAGGATGCTGAAGAAGGAATGTACCACTTGTCTGCAGGTCAGGATGCATTAAGTGACCACTTGGTGGTCCACAGTATGATCTGGGACAGAGGAACCACATAGGAAGCAGAAAGATAGAAACATGCTTCCCTCCATTCTCTACAGCTATACAAAAAACAATAAACCCTTGAACATCCTCCAGTGACAAAAAAAAGTAAGTGAAGTATTGTTACAAAAGTTGGGACAGAGAAAAGATGGGTTGTAAAGAGATATAGTATGAAAAGAAATATATGTTTTCACAGGCACTGTTACACACACATACTTTCCCAAATTGTTTTTAATTTGATCTCAGTTAATTATGTCCAGTCTCCCACTCGTCAGCTGTGAAGACCAATGTACTCCATCAAAGTCTTTTAACTTTGTGAAGAATACATTTCTGAGCAAGTCTTCTCCATAACATTTCGTTTATGTTGTGTGGCACCTTAAGCAATGCTTTGTGCTTTCCTGATTTTAGAGCTTTGTGAAGAGAATGCTTGGACCTGCAGATGTTCACCCTCCTACAATTGCTGGCCTCTACTGCAAATTCTTGTTGCTCTCTTGTCCTTGGGAAAGGCCTTAGATATACAGGCTTATCTTAGTGATTTAAACACAGCTACCTATGGATGTGATGGAATTCTTTTATTAGCAGTCTCCTAGTTAGGACTAGATGGATATCTAAGAGCAATGTTATAGCTCAAAGAGAGAGAGGTGCTTGATGCAGAAATTACAGGGTCAGATTCAAAGGCTGGTGTTGTGTGGGAGGTCAGGCAAGGTGAGCGTGTACTTCCAACCACTGCATCTGCACTGTAAATTTCAAAGCTGTCTGTAAAACTAGGAAATGCACAAGGAACTTAATGCAAAGTGTTTACCTTTCCTTTTGTCTGAGGTGTAACCCAACATTTTGCCTTTCCACCACATCATTGGGAAAGGAAATTAATTTCCCTGCTCACTAGTTATACTGAAATTATTTAAAGCAAATTCTCAGCTACCACGTACTTGATCATAGAAACTTTCTTAACCCCAAAGCTCTCTTGTTTCAACACTTTTCTCCAACAAGAATTCCACCAGAAACAAAAATGATTTCTGTTTCTTACCTTTCAACCCAGGACTCCCTATTCAGCTCTAAATGCAGTCCTAGGGGAGAAAATTTCCCTCTCCTTTTTCTTCCTTTAGACGTTTACCTGTTTTCATCTGGTCTTTCTTAGCCTTGATCCTGAAAGGAGCAGGTTCACACAGTGCTCAGAGTATCACCCTACACAGAAGAGTGTGCCTGAGTTTGTTATATCCTCAGAGAAAGGATGGAGCAGATACATATATGCATAACACAGACAATATTGATATTATTTATATATATATGCATAACACAGACAATATTGATATTATTTATATCTCTTTGGGCATAGTCTGGACAGAAGAGAAAGGGACAGTAGAAAATGGGTCCACTTCATCTCACTGGACGTGTTCAAAGGTGATAACAAAGGCTGAATGAACTTGGCTGCTGCTCTCCCCACCTACAGCCAAAGACTGAATTTGGTGATGGCCTTCCTTGATAGCCAAGACTGTCAGCCCAAAAGAAATGCTGTGAGTTTTCTAGTAATGCAGTAGCTTCTTATAACTTCTTTTACAGTGAGGATAGTGAGGCACTGGAACAGGTTGCCCAGAGATGTGGTTGATGCCCTGTCCCTGGAGACTTCCAAGGCAACGCTAGATCAGGTCCTGGGTAAACCCGATCTAGCTGGGCTTGTCTCTGTTCATTGCAGGGGAGTTGCACTAAATGAACTTTTCTAGTCCCTTCCAACTCTAAGGATTCTATGATTCTAAGTCCTATAGACAAATCTTCCAAATATGAGGCAAGGGGACTGTGTTCCACTGTGCAGAGAGTGTAGGCTCATAGCATGCTGGGTTTCATCGTACGGTCATGTCTGAAACTTAAGGAAGCTGACAAAGAGAAGGAAAAAAAAAACTTTACAGAAACACAAGTCTCAAGGTTTGTAACAAACTGGAGAAGTGCCAGGTTATTATGAAACAGAAGAGGCTGAAAAATAATCATAGATCTGATACTTGCAGTATCTAGAAAAGAGCACGTTCAGAACACGGCACTGGGTTGGGGGGAACTGGAGACTGAAATCGAGTAACTAAACAAAAATGGAGTCATACTGGCTACCTGCAAAAAATACAACTGTAATGCAATCTTGGGAAGTGCGAGCTGCAAGCTGAGCGAGCTCAGAGGGGGTGGAGGTGGCTGCCCAGATTTCCTAGCACTGCGCCTTTATGAGCTGAGCACTTCACTGAGCGTGTTTTCTTTCGTATTTATTTTCACAGAATCAGCCTGATCTCACGTTCCAAGAATGAAACCCTGGCATGGAAGTGGCATATCTGCTAGTTAATGTCAACATTTGATGTGCAGTCAGAGAGCAAACAGGATTTCATATTGTGGTAAAAAATGGAAATACTATTCGCTTTAATTCTAGTTTCTTTGTGTCGGATGTATCAGGAATCTCATAAAATAGTAAAAGAATTTAATTTTTACTTGCAATTATAAGAAGCAATATATATGTATAATACAATGTACCTACTTCTACAAGTACAAACAATATGTAAAATCTAGCTAGTAATGAATAGCTTGAAACATCCTTTGCAGAAAGCATTATAATAAAAGACTTCAGTGACTTTGTTTAACACTCAGCCACTAAGAAGGGGAAGAGAACACTTGACTGTGAATGAACTTCCCTATAGCAAAAGGAAATTTCTCCCTGACTTACAAATAGGCACAGAGAGACTAAGATATCATGTAGAGTGGGTGCAGCTTGCTGTCCAGCTCTCACCAGCCATGTGTAGAAAGCAAATTAACCCACATGCTTTACTGTCCTCCAGTCTTCTGGACAACAGATCACAGGAGATCATGTTTCAAACAGTGATGTCCCAAGTCTGGGAAGAGCTGAGCAATGGGACTCTCACTGCTGTAGGAAGGCAGTGCTCAAAACCACAGGATAGTCCTGGGCTCCCAGGGACAATAATGAATGACAACCATCACTGGCACAGCACTTCTGTGAGTCTCAGAGCAGAAACACCTGCCACATATCCCACCCTGGCAGGGAAATGGAGCTGGTGACCTAGCAATCTTTTCCACCTCTAACTTCTGGGTCTTTATGAATCGTCAGTCACACCTAGATGTGATATCACTATAAAATCCCAGTCATGTAAGAGAGCTGGCAGAAAGCTTTGGCTTTCTGCAACTCTGTGGTTTTATGCTTAGATGTGTCCTAAATACTGAAAGAACGAAGTAGACTTTCAAGCATCAGTGTTGACAGTTGCTTTCAGAGATGTTCAAACAAAATCCAGTCACATAGACAGCAAAACCAGTTGCAGCACTAACATGGCTTTTTTTTATTTTGAAAAGAAAGCCATCCCTATCCAAACACACCTGTGGTGTGGAGTGACTGATGCAGCTCTTTTTCAAGAGGCTGGCATAGTTCTTTATAGACTCATAAACCCATGGAAGCATTTTGGTTAGAAAAGAACTTTAAGATCATCAAAGTCCCACTGTCAACCTCACCTACCAAGTGCCACCACTAAACCATGTCCTTTAGTGCTGCAGAACATCCTCAGAGCAAACATGAGCGCTGTGCCCAGTGCTAGCTCTATACTTGGGTCAGTGGCAATGATTGGCTTCGGATTATGGGGACATCTGCCTGATTGCTGTAATCTTAACACTGGGGCAGAGCTCAGCCTTCAGTACATTTTTCTACACAGTATGTTGTGTTGCAGTTGGAAAGTTTCTTTCCTTCTTCTCTTCTAAAGTCATGCAGCGGGAAAAGAAAACATGGGAAACCGTGTCTTCAAATCATACACCTATACTTCATCTTGCTGTATAATCATCACAAACATTTGGTGGTGAGCTGTACTGTATCTGTGTTTTGTCTGGAGTTTGGAAGTGGTTTTAACGATTTAAATCGCGGTGAAGAACAGGGCCGCTCAAAACGCAGAGCTGGAAAGCAGAACCGCGTCAGCATCTGAAGTATTTTAAAGTAGATTTTGGTCCAGGTCCCGCTCCACTGTGTCCTCATGTTGGGAAAGTATATTCAGAGCTGACATGTCTTTCCCAGGTGTTTTCTACTGGGACAAAGTGCAGAGAGTGCAGTTAATCATGAGTGCATTCAAGTGTCCTGAGGTCTTTGGGTGAAAGCTGTTAGAGACATTGAAAAAGTGTTTAATAATCACAGCCCCATGTCCTCAGCACAGGCTTTTTGGGTTCACAAAAGTTCAAACACCTTTAAAGAAATTTAGGCCAAAACGTAAGCAGGCCAGAGCCATACAGCAGTTGTAATTGCAACGGGGACAACACTTTGCTGAACCATTTTCAGGATGATGACTACTTGCTAAGAAGCATGCTGAGTGTTGCTGCTTTTATAAACCACAGCAGGTTCAAAGGTACTCTGAGCAGTTTCCTATAGTTGACATAGAAAGATATACTTTTTTTTTTCCCAACTGTCTCACTTTTAAACAGTTTCAATTGGAAGGGCATATAACAATAATCCCCAAGAAGATTCAACATTGGGTCTTTCAATGGACTGTCAACACATCCTGTTCTTTCTCATTTGCAATATATGTCACTAAAAACAAACTGGACATATAAGGTACCTGTCTTTTTTCAGCAAAATTATGACTCATGGATGAGAGTAAAAATACCCACAAGTTTTGTAACAACTATGAAAGCTGCAATCCCAGCTAAAAGAAAGATAAATTTTTCTCTGCTCTCCATTTTCCTGCCTTTCTGTTGGTTCCTCAGACCATCTTTAGGGATAGCGTTGCGGCACACAACACCGAACTCCATGCAACAGGCTGCTATTGTGCTAGAGCTCTGTATGGAGTGCTGTGGCCTAGCAAGGGAGATGTGAAACTCACTAAAAAAAAGTTGTATTTGTGAAATGCTTTTGGATTACATAAAAACATTGCAGAGGATTTTATTGCCCCTTGTTGTACCGGCTAAGAGTTACCCAAACCGTCCATAGATGGAAGAAGAAAGGTTTATCTACAGCTTTTGGAGTAGTTAGAAGGAAGACAGATAAGCAAACTTCTTGGTTCTCTTAGAAGTAGAAACTAAGAGCAAAAGGATTAGTACTATAGGGAAACCAACACACACGAGGCCCAGTGTTCTCTCTTGCATTTAAATAC